AGGGGTTAACTCGAGTGTGGCAGCCTCTACAGACGCTTACCAGACCGTCTATAAACATTTCTGGCTGGGGACTCGGCTCTGATCTGGCTGTGATCGTCGTCCTTCTACGACGTAAAATAATTCCTGATGTCACTTGGGGGCGGACGTTAAATTGCCTCTTGATCAGCCAGATCATCCGAGTGGAAGGCTCGTCGGCGTACGAGGGTAAATAAGAGTGTTGTGGCTGCCTTGCTCGACGATAACCCGGGGCTCAGGGGTGGGACCAGATTGCACACCTTTGAGACACGCTTGGCTTCTGTTGCGAAGAAACGTGACACCGTGACTTTGAGAAGAACAAAGGGAGGGGTAGGTTCCAGGTGATAAGTTCGGGTTTTAATTCCATGCTATGAACAGACCCAGTCAGTCAACACTATTTTTATTTTTGATTAGTTAGATGGACAGCCATGTGACATCTGACAAACAACATTAGTTTAGAATATTATTTATTCGTGATGCTTCCTCTGTTTGCGAACTAATCTTACTAAAAATAGTATTGACAATAGGTATCTGACTTACCTGTTGACCCCAAATGAGATCTGTTCCAAAAATATCCACCACTAAATAGTTGGTCTGTGCACTAAGCTGCGGTAGGCATCTAGAATGATCTAGTGTAGACATTGCACAGTGTTGTAGTCCATGAGCGACACAGGGGACACCGGAGAGGACGACCGCAGGATCCTGTGATCTGCCAGAGGCCCGTTAACTCACGTGTCCCTAGGACCGGAGGGTGATAGGGAACTGTTCCGCCGGCAGAGGGAGAGGAGAGCTAGAGCAACCGAGGCCAGCAGAACCTTAATTGGTGAGGCTGGTGCTACAGCAGCCATGGCTACAACAGCCATGAGCGCGTCTGCGCAGCAGACTTCTCAAGCCGGTAGCTCAGGTACCGCCGGGTCCACGGTCGCACAGACCGTGAGTCAGTCTACTGGCTTAATGGCAAGCCAGCCCGCGGTGTTGACCCCAGAAGATGTCGCCATCCAGCAGGCAGCCCTRCAGGAGGCACARCWACARCAGGCATTAGGAAAGATAAAAAAGGAGAAGGAGATGATGATTAGAAGAAGAGCCAGGATGCAGCAAAGAGAGACAGACATAGAGGAGTTAGAAACGATGGACCTGACGCATATGGATGATGATGTGAGGGTAGTTAGGAAGGCCCTGCTAGGGATTATAGAGATGCAGGAGCACCAGACTACCATCCTTCAGGACATTCAACAGAGTCTGGCCGTATTGTCAGGCCGCGCTCAGGCAACACCATCACCAGCCGGGCCTGGTGCCTGGCCCGTGCCATATCCTCCATTCTCTGTCCCACCGGTGACTGGGGTATCCCCATTTGTAGCCCCGTCAACGGTTGCTACCGTATCCATAGGCATACCGCTATCAGGAGGGGTAACAGCAGGGAGTAGTTTACAGGTTCCTGTACAGATAGTGTTTACTCCAAGTCCGTCACACGTTGCAGTCACCACGCAGCCTGCTGTCTCGCAGTCAGTGCAGCCTCAGGGCACACAACCCCAACAGCTAGCACAACAACCTGTATCATCGGGTCCACAGCCCGGGGTGGTGCAGGGACAGGGACAAAATCAGTGGGTTCCAAAGACGGCCATCGCCGCTCCCAAATCTTTTACAGGGGACAAGAGAGGTGAAGACCTCGACACTTGGTTGAGGGCAGTGTCGGTCTACGTCAGGTGTAAACTCACCTTGCCACACGAAGAAGTGCTTGTGGCTGCTTCCTATCTAGAGGGTAGTGCAGCAAGATGGTTGAGTGGGCTAGTGCAACTCCAAGGGTACGGTCATGACTTCCGCTCTTGGGCAGCCCCTCAGAAATTGGAGGACTTCCTGAAAATGGTGGAAGAGAGGTGGCATGATCCGCAGGAGGCTCAAAAGGCCACTGATGTGATCTTGACACTGCACACGCGGCAGTTTAAGTCAGTAAGGGATGCCACCGACGCTGTAGAGCGTTTGATTTGTGTTCCAGGGGTACGCTATGACCCCCAGGTCCTGTTAACTTCGTACTTGAGATGCTTATCCCAACCTCTCAAGAACCAGTTGGCAAAAGAGGCCAACATCAATATGCACAACTTTCCTTCGTTCAGCAAGGTAGCCCTAGACCTTGAGGCAAAGATAGGGCATGGACAAACACCCACTACGGAAGGGAGAAAGAAGACACTGCCTCCTAACTGGAAAGCGAAAGGTCGCATTATGTTTGTCGACAACGATGGATCAACCATTGAGTTGGATGGCAACTTCCAGGAGGGAGTAGGTGCAGAGGCGGGTGGCGAAACTTCAGAGGGTGGAGTAGTCGCCGCCGTAACTCAGCAAAAAGGTAAAGGGACCAGTAGACGCCCTAGGGGATCCCGGTCGAAGATTCAAACAGACCCCAATTCTCCTCAATGGGAGAAAGCGGGTCTATCTGAGGACGTGTGGAGAGATCGGTGGGCACGGCAAGCTTGTATCAAGTGTGGACAGTATGGCCATAGCATGTACAAGTGCCGAAACAGGAAGGTCACCGAGAAGATCCCGCCTACGATGGGGCTGGCGGTAGGATCCTCCACTCCCGTTGGTAGCAATGTTGCCAGTTCTTCAGGCACCGCGTCGGGCCAGTAGGAATAGTAGCTGTTCCTACTAGGGTCGCGGTGGTGCATACACAATCACCTTCGCGAGAGATGGCCCAAGCTACAGACTCTTCAGTCGTCCCGCAAACACATTTAGACCCATCGACCCTCTGTTCGATGAATGTGTTTGAATCCTTAGAGGAGCTAGAGCATGAGTGGTTAGATCAGATCCACTAGCTTCTTGGACAACGTTAGTTAAAGCCCCTAAGGGTGAAATGTTTGTCAGCGAGGTAGTCATAGGAGGCCGCAAGGTCGGGGCCTATTACGACACTTGCTCAACTAGGAACTTTATTAGCCGCGCGTGCGTTGAGAGGCTGCGCTTACAGGGGCAAGTGCAGCGCCTGAGTCGACCTGTGGAGTCGACCTRTGCCAACAAACAGCGTATGGTAGTTAATGACTACCTCCATGATGTAGAGTGTGTTTTCCCGTACGCGGGAGGGGACTTGAGACATCGTGTCTCGTTCCTGGTGAGTGACCGGCTCCCAATGGACATGTTACTGGGTATGTACTACCTCTCTGTAGCACAGCCCCAGTTTGACTGGGACCGAAAAGTGGTCAAACACACGTTGCCAGGTGGAGGGACCGCCATATTACATAAGTTCAAAGCTAGTAGTCTGATTGAGTCCTATGGGTGCATGTGTGCGGCCGCRTTCTATAATTATTATAAGCAAAATCAGGAGGAGGGTATGTACTTAGTTTATGTCTCTGCTGCAGGAGAGCCGGTGAAAATGCCGCCAGAGATAGAGGGAGTAGTTGCTCAGTACCCTGATCTATTTGAAGAGCCGACAGGGGTTGTTGAGAGGGAGGTCGTCCACGCAATAGAGATTATCCCAGGGTCTAGTATTCCAAGGGGTAGGATCTATCGGATGTCTCCAGGCGAGCTTGATGAGCTTCRCCGCCAACTCAAGGAACTCGTAGAGAAGGGHTGGATCCGGCCGAGTGTCTCTCCTTATGGGTCTCCAGTTYTATTCGTGCCTAAGAAGAAGGAGGGAACCCTTAGGATGTGCATTGACTATAGGGGCCTCAATGCCATCACTGTCAAGAACAGAGAGCCCCTACCGCGCATCGACGATCTGCTAGATAGAGTGCAAGGGTGTCGGTACTTCAGCAAGATAGATCTGAAGTCCGGGTACCATCAGATTGCCATACGGCCCGGGGATCAACACAAAACCGCTTTTCAGACCAGGTACGGTCTGTACGAGTTTGTGGTAATGCCTTTTGGCCTTTGCAATGCTCCTAGCACCTTTCAGCACGCTATGAATCGGATATTCCATGACTACTTGGATAAGTTTGTCATCGTGTACCTCGATGCCATACTTATTTTCAGTAAGACTGTCGAGGAACATGTGGCACATCTGGACAAAGTCCTCGGCCTCCTGCTGCAACACAAGTTCAAGATCAACGGTGAGAAGTGCGAGTTTGGCCGCACCCGTGTCTTGTACTTGGGTCATGAGATTTCTGCGGAGGGATTGAAGCCCGATGACGCGAAGGTGGCCACAGCATTCGTGATTGGCCACGTCCTCAGTCTGTGACTGAGATGAGATCTTTCTTAGGAATGACAGGCTACTATAGGACTTTCGTTAAGAACTACAACATAGTGGCCGCCCCTTTGACTGATCTGACCCGCCTTGACACCCCTTGGGAGTGGACAGATAAGTGCGAGGCTGCTGTCACACATCTGAAGCATGCACTAACGCACTATGAAGTCTTGAAACTTCCTGATCCTTACAAGCCGTTTATAGTCACAACGGATGCCAGCCAATATGGCATTGGCGCCGTGCTTGCGCAGCAGGAGGGGCCAAAGTAGAGGCCAATAGAGTACATGTCCAAGAAAATGCGGTCTCAGAAGTTGGCTAAGTCCACTTATGAGAAGGAACTCTATGCGGTGTACAAGGCTCTCACCCATTGGAGACACTATCTCCTTGGGCAGTTCTTCATCCTCCGGACTGATCATCAGACCCTGAGATGGATGAGAACACAACCGATACTCTCTGATGCTCTCAAGCGTTGGATTGAAGTCATTGAGCAATATGACATTGACCCTCAGTATCTCAAAGGGGAGTACAACAAGGTTGCTGATGCCTTGTCGCGCAGACCGGACTTCTCAGGTGCGCTGATTACTGAGTTCGATCAGACGGACGATGTTACTCAGTCTTTGGTGGAAGCCTATCGTCAGGACCAGTTTATGTCTAAGATCATACGCAGACTTCTAAGATCATACGCAGACTTGAGGCGAAGGATAAGAAGACCTCCGCCGAGTTTGAGTTGGTCAATGGATTGCTGTTCCTAGAGAAGGCAGGGAATAAAYGCTTGTGYGTYCCAAATAGCGARTCTTTGYGYAGTTTGTTTTTAGGCGAGTGTCATGATGCCACCGGCCATTTTGGGTACAAGAAGACCGCAGCCAACTTGCTGCAGCGGTTCTGGTGGCCMACGATGATGAAAGATGCACATCTGTACGTGGAAACTTGTCAAGTATGCCAAAGAGACAAGCCCCGTACTCAGACTCCTCTTGGGCTGCTCAAGCCCTTCCGATTCCGGAAGGCCGGGTGAAAGTTTGTCCATGGCTGGATACGCTGGTCACCAGCAAGAGTGGGATGAGACAGATCTTTGTCATCGTGGATAGGTTTAGTAAGTTTGCTAGATTAATAGCTATGTCAGAAACAGCGAAGACTGAGTACGTGATCAGGCTATTTAAGGAGAACTGGGTTAGAGACTTTGGACTGCCGAAGTCTATAGTCAGTGACAGGGACGTCAGGTTCACGAGTGAATTGTGGAAGGCCGTTGCAGATGAACAAGGAACTCAACTGCAGATGACTTCTGGAAATCATCCAGAAGCTAATGGCCAGGCTGAACAAATGAACCTCGCTGTGCAACACCTATTGAGGCACTACATCAAGCCCAATCAGGTAGACTGGGACGAAAAGCTTGCTCTAGTCGCCAGTCTATATAACAATGCTATACACAGTGCTACCGGGACGAGTCCTAACAGTCTACAACTGACATTCAAGCCTAGACTGCCCTTAGACTTCCTACTTCCAGACAACCAGCCAACTGCTACACCGAGCACTTTGGAGTTTGCCTATAGATATGAACAGAAGATGCAGGAGGCTGTAGAACACATGCAGAAGGCGCAGGCAGCAATGATAGAGTCTGAGAATAGACACCGTCGCCCTTCTACATTTCAGGTTGGGGACAGAGTCTGGGTCAAGTCTTCAGAACTGGGACAGGAGTTCGGGATATCCCGTAAACTCATGCCTCAGTACTTTGGGCCTTGGGAAATTCTAGACGTAGTAGGGACAGATTCTGATGGTCCATCATATGTCATCCGTATCCCTGGTCATCTGAGAACTCACCCTGTCTTTCATGCCTCTAAGCTCGCTGCGTCCAAGGAAACTGATCAGTTTCCCTCTCGTCAGTCAATGCTGCCCCCAACCATGGACGGAGAAGTCGACATCGATGATATCGTCGACCACAGGGAGATGCCCGTTCAGAAGCCTCCAGGAAGGGGACGTCCTCCAAAGCCAAAATTGCAGTTCCGTGTTCACTTCAGACATCACACGGATCCGAAAGAGGACCGCTGGTTTACTCGGGAGGAATTGATGCAGACCGCTCCTCAAATCGTTGCCCGCTATGAGAAGGATGTATTGAAAGGAAAGCGCCAGATGGCTCAAGATTGATCTTCCCAGAGTACTGACGAAGATATGGAGGAGGGAATGCGAGGCTACGCCCGCTTAGCCCCTACGGGGCCCTATTTGCAGCAAGGTCGGCCGCCCTAAGTGAAGGCAGGCACAACAGGCCCTTCGGGCCTCGTTTTTCTGGGTACCCCGCATTGGGGAAAATTCAGGCAGTTGCGTAGCGCCAGTTGGTTGAGTGAACCCAGGCCCTGGGCCGCCTGTGTGAACGTACGAAGTACAGACCCTGGGCTGGATTCAGGTACCAGGCCGAACACAGGCCGAAAGCAGTTGGGCGCATGCAACCACTTCAGGCCCAAGGCCTGTTTTCCTCGTGACTGGGCCTCAAGCTACCGGGTCCTACTGGAAGCTTGCTGGACTGGACGCAGGCAGGCCACTTCGATATAGGGAAGGGCCCGCCTCTCATTTCGGCATTCGGGTGTTGCCTGCATGCTGCGYGAGCGYTGCTGCGCTATCCGCTGGCTGGCTGGCACTCACGCTCTCACGGGYGAGTAGGAGGGAGCACGCARCCATAGCCAAGYTGCGCTGCTGTATGCTAGGTGAAGCGCAGGGTGGTCCTTGGGTGCTAGTGGCATCTGTGCGGTGTGGATCGGGGTTGTGAGTGTTACGAGAGACATACCTGGTGCTGAAGCGWGMGACATTGGTYGCCATATGCTYGTACTTCGGGAACGCTGTTGATGTCATCATTCTGCTTCGTAGTATAGGCTAGATAGGACCTGCCACATGTAGTTTGGGCGCCGAGCGCCAATAGGATATCAACTCTGGTTCGTAGTTGATGATGATGGGACTACTTCAGCATTGTCAACTTTGAACTCTTGGTGTGTTCTTATTTGGTGTATCTCGTGATGCAAGTCTGCTGTGGTTCGAGGTCAAGACTATCTGGGCTCATATGTATGATGCTGTTTGATTGCTGAAGTTCGCTAATGCTCATCTTCCTTGCACTAACTATTTTACATGTCATAGGAAAGCAGAAAGTAATGACAGCTAAATCCTAGAACGTTGGAGGCAGTAGCCTCAGTCTGGAGACAACTGACTAGTGTATAAGTCCGAAGAACAACAAAAGTAGAAACAACTAAATCCTAGAAATGTTAGAGGCAGTAGCCTCAGTCTAAGAGCAACAAAGCAACAACAAGACAACCATATATCACAAGAGAAGTGTGTTGCAAACCACAGGGTGGGATGGTCTTTGAGGGTGGCGAATGCAACCTAGGGGTCGATAAACTCCTAAGGGCATCCACACATAATGACTGGGAGACACATGTCATCAGGCTCAATGAGGGTAGGGAACTGGGAGTGAACAGAACCAATGACCCTAACAGATAGACCATCAGGGCGGGTAATGCTCGACAAAGGGGTGACCGCTATGGACGGTCGACCACGCAAGGGAACAAGGGCGTCTGGTATATTGGGCGCACCTAGATGAAGCACGCAAGGCTGCCTAACTAGGGCATGAGGGCCGGCAGAGGATAGAAAAAGTGATGGGTAAGGGAATCATGCAAACGACTCCTAAGGTGAGGAAAATCGGAGTTGGATCCGTAAGCTGGGAAGTCAGGGCAACGCTACAGTCCCGATGCCTATGCGTATACCAAGGGAGAGCTCAACTCAGAGGAACCCGGCGAAGGGAGACTATCATGCGATACAACCAAGGTACTGTACAGGGTAAGGTGGTAAAAGAGTGACGACGTGTGAAGTAGGCAGAGTTCATCATGACGAAGGTCGTGAAGCACCATGATGCGAAGTCCGGAATGTCGTCAAGGAAGAGCCGCAACGTCGTCGAGCTGAAGTGGCAAAACTGGAGTGAATGGAGTACTGAGAAGTTAAAGGAAGATAAGTCAGAGTCAATCGTCGTGTCGAGCACGATGACGACGGGTGCGCTATGGACGCTCAGAAGCATCCGGCTAAGCTGAAGGTCTGCCTCAAATGGAGCAGGTTCAACTTCAGCGGTCTCCTCAACCAAGGGAGAAGGAGGAAGGTCAGTGGGTTGAGGAGGAGCAGTCAACCCAGTACGATGAGCACGGTCATAGGCACACACCAACATGCGAGCGTGCTACAAGTGCTCGAGGGGCTCCCAGGCAGCCTCCTCATTAGGGTAACTCTTCCAACGTACGAGATACTCGACATGGGGAGGGTTGTCGTCGGTGACTCGGCGATCAATGATGTCTAAAATGAGGAACTCCTCGTGGCCGTCCACCATGTTAGGTGGAGGGCGCTCGTATGGTCGTCTAGCGAAACGCTCAGACGCTCTGCGGTAGGGACGCAATAACAAGACGTGATAGACATCGTGCACACGAGCCTGGCGTAGGTAGTAAAGCAGCTTCACACGGAAGTTGACCGGGCTAGATGCCGTATCAGAACCGACGGCCTGGAGAATGCGGCATGGGCCAAAGAAGCGACGCCGAAACTTTCGAAGCGTGTCCGCTTCGAGCTGTAAGTGACGGGTGTCAATAAGCACATCGTCACCGACTTTGAATGGGTGATCCATCCGCAATTGTTTCGCAGGTGCGGCCATGCGAGTCTGGGAAACGACTATGTGCTCATGTGCGGTCTTCATGATCCATGTCATGTGTGCAACTTGATCATCTAGCGCGGGACAACTCGTGTCGGGGTGCATCTGTGACGGTCGAAGGAAGTCCGCGAGAACACGATGGTGATAACCGAGGTCGCAATAGTAAGGCGACATCCCCATGGCTAGCGAGACGGCGTGGTTGTAGGCTATCTCCGCGTGGGCAAGATGGAGATCCCACTGCTGGTCGTCATGAACAATCTTTCGGAGAATATCTATGAGAGTCCTCTTCGTGAACTCAGTCTGACCATCAGTCTGGGGATGGTAAGACGAGGAGAAGCGGAGCTGGGTGTCGTACACCTCGTGGATCCATCGCTAGAATCAGCTGGTAAAGTGTGGATCA